CACACGGAACCAGAATCCGAAGGTATATCACCTTTTCTTGCATCCCGGTTCATCTTGCTGACTTCTTCATGGCTGGTTTCCGACGACCCAAGGCCTATGGACTTCTGTCATGGCGAGTACATGACCTTCCCACAGGTCGGCGCACGCACGGTAGAGTCCGCTACCATGCCCCCCTTGACCATACCTGGCCTGTGCTAATCACCGCCAAACCAGGTTTTGTCTTTGCGACCCGCCGCATTAGGATTCGAGAAACACTAGGTCGACGTCGACGATGATGGCGAGACCGTTGTCTCTACAATACGACACGTGGTCCCTTCTATACTCCGGGGGAAGATGGTGCTGGGAGTGGTCGTATGGGATTGCAGGATATCAGCTTTGGGGCTGGAGGAAGTCTCGTTGCTTCGGCCAAGCGTGGTGTGGGTCTACTGGCGATAGAGACCTGGATGTCCCAGAGTACCTCGTTCCTGCAGACATGTCCTCAGTCCGTTGCTAAGTGCAATCTAGACACTCTTGATCCTAAGCTCGCCTGTTCTATCTGGATACAGTGCAACGGACCCGGATTGACATCGCGTCGACTGTCCTATCAAGTGATAGTGCTTTGTTTGCTGGTGACCCTCATGGTGGGAGTGTGTCCATGTTGACGATCTACATGAGAGCTACAATTCACGTTTCAATTTCTCCTCCATCCATCCTCTGCCGTGATGCAAAGGCACTACTGTGCGGGCGATATTTCGTTTTCTGACCATCCCCTTGCCCTGTCGTGTCTTTCTGCAGGCAGTCATGATTGCTGAAGTCAATACAATGCTGACCGGGTATGTGTGACCTTGCCGGTAGACTCTGAGTGGAATGTGTGGGGTTTTATCGGCGATAGGATGATAGATCATGGCCATGACTATCAAGTTCCGAGCAACCATTTCCACCGTCGGCACGACCGCTATTCGGAGTGCCACCCCTTTCTCCGACGCCTCGACAGAAGCTTATCCTGTCAGTCACCACGACATGACCGTGTTCAACTATCCCGCCATATTAAGAAGGTATTTGTTTTGGATACAGTACGGATCCACTGGACTTGTCAGAAGGGTCAGATTCATGGAGTACAGCAGGCCCCCCAATCGGCATATACGCTTGTTGGAGGTACTTCGTCATCATCGTCGAATAGTTCAGGCCGAGTTTTCATTTCAACATCAGGGTCCTTATTCTCCTCCCCATCGGGCTCTACCAGACTCGCAGACCATTCGTTGTCGACCTTAGGATGCTCGGTGAAGAGAGAGCGGAAGGTCGCAGATTCGACGTCCTCGCACAGCTGATCATATCTGATTTGCTGGACATTCGAAACCATTGTATCTCTACACAGGGAGGGACAACCTTGACCAGGTTGCACACAACACGCGCACCAACATATCGACACGACGAACCAAAGCCTTGGATGGAAGTTTCCGTGACTTCTGCTACCTTACCCGAAGCTAAACGGCACGATCAGGCAGAGCTCAAAGCCTCAACGCAGTCAACACGTACGATCGTCTCTTGACAGGAGCGACCCGAGAAGTTGACAACTAGCAGTGCAGTGCGGCAGGCTAGCCTGGCTAGCTGATGGACAAACTAGTACGGCTTGGCATCGTCCGACACGACTAGCAAGACATCATGAAGCAACAAGCTTCCACTGGCTCGATTAATGTCATGGTATCCTGGACACAGTCCATATGAATGATCATTTCCACCACTCAACCGAGCACGATGAAGAGGTAGACAGGCTCCGAAGACTCCGTGGTCATCGTACCTTGGACATGGGTCTCTTCACTTTGGACGTGCGTCAGCATTGTTGGCAGAAGAATGGCACAGGTCGAGCAACAACCAACCGCACAACAAAGATGTTTGGAGTCGGAGCCAGCGTTATCCTGATCGAGAGAATACTCAGCTTTGCGCCCTAGAGCAGTCCTCCATGTACAAGATCCGTGTCACAGCGCACGACGTTCGACATAGTAACCTCTTGCACCTCTGAAAGCGAGACGAGCCACAATTCATGGTACCAAAGGAAGGTACACACACCACAGCATAAAACTACGAGCGCCTTGCTGGACAACTACGGGGCAGGGACCACAGGACGACGACGACATGCTGCAAAGGCTCTGGAGCGCAGCTATGGTGCTACAGAGTATATGGAGCAGGTCAACGATATTGCAGGCAGCTGAGAGTACGTGGGTGGCATTTTGAGAACACGGATCAAGGCCCAGCCAGGCTGTCTGGCAACTCGGATCCCGTGCACTGCTTTGGACGCAGCTATTTGCACTATTGCGAACGTACGTCGGTTGGGAACTTCCACCCGACGCATTAGTGATGGGCTTGACTGGCGGCTCTAATATGCCAGGGTTACATACGACCTCGCTTATAGGATACGCCCTTGCCATGTCCTTGGCAGGTAGACCCCCTCCCGAGGAGCAACACTCGTGAATACATTGACTTCAGAAAGCCAACATCATCTTCACTACTTTCTCTGTTTGTTATCAACGATGTCAACAGCTTGGCCTACCCATTTCATCGCTGGCACGCGGTTGGAATACTATTTGCTCGATCATGCCGACTGGCTCAGAACTTCCTTGGGAACCGACCAGCAACACAGATCTTGAATCCACAACGCTGCCCGTGAAAGGAGTTCACGAGTCAACAGGAAGACGATAAGGCTCTTTGAGCAGTACCAGCTGGATCCTCTCAGACGGCACCGCCGGTATACGACAAAGTAAGATCCTTCCTCATCCTTCTTCCACGGCGTCCGGTCCGGTTTGACAGATCGGCGATAGTTATCTCCCTTTGGAGCCCTGTCCTAAGACATCGCTGCCCCGACTAATTCGTCTGGCACCTCTTGACTGTCCGCAGGAGGCTACCTTTGCAGCTTTGCCCTTCTGACGTGCCAGGCCGCTGAGCTATCCTCCCTCTGTGTCTCTCTCCACCGAGCCGCGGATCCAGCTCAGCTCCGGTCCGAGTGCGAGTGCCGTGCTATGGCTGTCGATGTTTTTTCAAGCGATGAATACGGTTGATTCAGGGCTGTTATTCGCCAAGAAGTGTCCCGTTAGATTTGACAGCGTTCTACAGCCGAAAGACAATGAACCCCTTTGCCGCGGTCAACAACTGCAAAGATACTTCATGCCGAGCTTTTGCCCGTACATGCAGCGACACCACCGGGCGCCACGGAGACACTGAACCGGCTCTACCAGAAGTTCTGGGCCGCCTGGTGGTCGGTATTTACAGCGGGAGCCAGGGTGAACGAGCACCGCCGTTCTGGGCCAAGCGGCATATTCTGCGGAAAGGTACCCTGTACCACTTGCTCATATACCTTCCCCGATCGTCAACCAGTATGGAGCAGCTAGCCGTAATATACTCCAGAAGGCGCAATGCTTGCCTCGCAATTTGGAAATGCAAGGCGGTCAAGCTAAAGCTCAAGGGAGAGGGGGCTGCCATATTCGAGAGGGTGAGGAAGCGGCTCATCATCGACAACTGGGCGCAACCTGGCCAAGGTCATTGAGAAGGCCGAGATAGACTCCGAGAGCTGGGATGCAGGATTCCGCGTGCCCTTACCGGAGTCAAGCATCATACAATAGTTTCAAGACAGACGTTGTCCCCATTGTGTGAAGGCTTGCCCGCCCACAATGAACCAGAACGAGTCTTCGAACCAACGAGTGTAAGAATCGCATCTACGTATCAGGCAAGCAAGCTGTCGGGACGGTTCACGTGGCAGGGTGCGTAGGAGCATTCGGCAACTGGGTGATTTGTCACAAACGTCGATATCGAATTCGTGGCAGGATAGGGTCGTCAAGCGGGAAGTTGGGCGCCAGACGGCGCCACGTTGCAACATGGAGCTCGGCATGCCCGGCACCTTCCACGTCAGACTTCTGGGTCGTTGGCTTTGACATATTGATAGCACCTGTGGTGGGAAACCCACCTTTCAATCTGCGAAGGCTGATGAACCACACTCGCACCTAATGACCTCTTTTGGTGGACTGCCTCGCGGCTGTCAACGCAGTGGTGGGCAGGCAACGTGGGAGCGGAAGGGAGACTTCGCTTTCGGTTCTGGTGCACAGAGTTGACACAAACCATGTTGTAGTGTCGAGAGTAATGGCGGTCTCATCTCGCCGCTCAAAGTAGCTCTTGGGGAAGCGACTGTTTGGCGCGTACGAGGATTGTCTCTGCCAGTCTCCCGCGGATGGTCCGTTCTGGGACTGCTCTCGGGGATCCTCGACTGGTCCCTTCCAATGCCTTCCGGCAAGCAACCAATGTCAGATCCAGGTAGGCTCAGGCGTCCTCCTCGGGGCTAGCGAGTGACCGCTGCGCCACGTGCCGCATTAGCCGGTCAGACCTCGCCCCCCTAGGCATCAAGGACGGCCGCATCCTTGTTTGGAAGTCGACTGCGGGCAAGAGACAGAATGGTGGCGAGAACGTGTAGCTACCACTGTCTCTTTGAAGGGGGGACTTGGTCCCTTAGCACGACTGCTTGCACATTTCTGGACTTCCGTTGCAGGCGGTTGTCGCTGTCATCGGCGAGCTTCTTCAAGAGCTTAAAGTCCAGAAGATCAAGGAGGCTAACGAGATGTTGCGTCAACGGTGAGGCCATTGTCGCTACCACATAGGACGCATGTCGTGCGTTCGAAGTGCGACTTTGGACGAGGTTGCCGTTGCTGGCGGCACCCGGGTGGAGAGCTTCGTCAATGAGAGGAGCGTGAGGAGTATGCCAATGACTTTGAGAGGATCGCAAGAAAAGACGTGACAGGAAGGCAGTGGCTGAAACCCAACCGGAGGTACTGGGAGCCTGTTACGGAAGCCAATCCTGCCGAAGCCATATCCGTCTTAGCACCCACTGAAGAGGCTGGGCATCAGGCTGAGATGGAATGTCTCGCGTAACGCAGTACGAGGCGTCATCAAGCATCACAGTACTTGAAGGACGTGAACTTTCGACAATAACAGGGTGCACTGGCATCTATCTATGCTGGGAGCTTCGCCAAAAAAAGATGTGATCGCTGCAGGGTTCGAACCTGCGACCCTCTGTGTCCGTACATGACTTCTGACAGTACATGTGAAACAGACGCTCTTCCACTGAGCTAAACGACCATATTGGCTCTGTGTGATGTTATCCATAAAACCCATGAAGTGCTGCTTGGAATGCAGCATCCGATGCAATTCTTGAGGGATTGAGGAATCGCTCTGTGAAGCTTCTAAACCTTCTCTCCCTGTCGCATAGTAGGTCTTGTATGGACAGACATCCTTTTCGCCAGCGTACAGACTTTTGGCGTGTGTGATGAACCACTCACTAGTCATTACCATTTGGCGCCAGCACTTACTAGACACCCATTAAGGAAAGTATACTGATTAACCCTATCAAGGAAAGTCTCGGTTGCATGATAGAGGTGTCCTCTCTCTCTCTCTGAGGCAGATAGAGATTCGGATAGCTGCTGCTGTGTTAGCAACACCTCGTCCACGTCTCGATTTAGCGCGGGACGTGAGGCCATGACGCAACCGCAACTGTATGCAGAGAGTCTCTAAGAGTGACAGACCATGATGGGGAATGGAAAAGAAGAAGCAGAGCCCATTATCACGGTACCTAACAGAAACGGACGGAAAGAGACGGCAAAAGAGAGACAGACAACAGAGAGACGAACGGGAGGCGAACAAAAGAGAGACGGAGAACACAGAGGGACGAAGAGAGACGGTAAGATAGACGGAAAAAGACAAATAGAAATGCCACGGAACAAGGCCTCAAGAGGCATCAGACGTCGTCAAGGTCGGGACAGTGACCTGAGCAAAGCAAGGATAGCTAGTATGAGGAAACAGAGAACAACAACGAGAAGCTTCCAAAAGACGAACAAGATGTGTCCACGGGAGGCATAAAACAAAGCAATGGTAATCGTCAATGAAATTCAAGATAAATTCTACATGATTAGTGGGCCGCTGTACGAGGTCAAGACTTGGCAGCTCGCGAGTAAGTGCTGCCGACCCTGCAGTTTGTCGAAGCGGACCTTTTGACGTCGTGATGTCCCCTGGTTTGCTTTAATGCTCATCCTGCTGGGAGGCCCGGTAAATGGCCGTATGAGTCGCTCAGGCCAAATAGAAGTGTATCAGTTCCCACATCAGCAAAGATAGGTTTAGGACCCCATCAGTTCGATGATGAAGAACACAGCCAAACGCCAGTTGACACGTCGAAGAAGGTGACGAAGTAGGGTACGTAATGAACTGTATCCCGGGTCGTTGGGTGTTACTTGGAAGTGTGCTACGGTCCTCTCAAGTCTGTGAACTCTGAGATTGCGGGATAGGGGTCAGCAAGCGATCCAAGCACGAGAATGAATGTGGGCTGTCATGTGTGCCCGGGCTGTACGCGGATCTCGTCGTGGTGGACGTGGATGAGTCTTGATGGTAGCCAACTCGGGAGCATTCGGAATGCTGATCACGCGTCCCGGAGTTGGCCCTGAGCCCCAGGATTTGTTTGGGGGAGGGTCAATTAGGTCGCACAAGCGAGCCTTGGCTGTTACTTGGGCTTGTCTCTGGACCTCAATGACAAAGGGCCTGCTATTTTCGATGTCCGAGTTAAGGGTGGAGGAGGGATCGACCGAGACGGAGCTGAGCGAGGGCGAGACGGTGAGTGGCCTTGGAATCCTCAGCCGATTTGGTGGGAAAGGTCCAGGGATCAGATGAGATGTCCACCTCGGTCGGGGTTGCTGCCGGGGGGGTGTAATGGCCTCTGTGGTACTTACGGCGCACTCAGCATAAGCAGGCCAGGCTCCAGGGATGGAAGAGACCATCGCGGTAAGAGTGGACGCCGGGCGGTGTGTGAAATTACCACTCGTCCAAGGAGCCCTCGGTTCCAGAGGGTGTGAAGCGGTCCCACCGCGATGTTGAGGAGGCATCAAAGGCACTGTGTCCTCCAATGTCAAAGCCACCACTGTAAGCAGAGCAGATAACCTCGTTCAATGTGGCGACGGTATCGTCAAGAAAGACCGGCGCACGCCATAGAAATCGATTGACGACCCTATCAAGCATGGGGGCCACATTTGATAGCTGGGTGGATGGCAATTGTCGCGTTGATGGAACACGGCTGGGACGCAAAAAGATAATGGGTGCAGTGGTAGGGATGTCTGATCATGATGGCTCGAGGGTTTGAGGGAGTACGGCAGCGGCCTATGCTGGCACGGCCAGGATGGCACCGTGACACCAGTATCACTAATATCCCTCTTTTTGTCTTCGGTAGGTGACTTCACGTCGTTGATGACCGAACAGAAGTCCGCTTGGACACCATGTATATACGAAAGGCGGACAAGGTCTTCCCTGTTGATGATGAACCATCCGATGGAAGTTCGCCTGACAGAGACCAAATTGGCGTCAGAAGGATCAGGAGAGTTCATCACAAGTTCGATTAGAAAGAACATGAAGTAATCAACCGACACTGAAAGAACGATACTGGTGATACTGGTGGCATGGCATGTACACCGCATGTGAAAACGCAACCAGATCCAAGAAGCAGGTCAGGACTGAGCCTACCAAGACAACAAAGGAGACCGCTGTTGGAGAACAGCCTGTTCGGAGAACTGGTGGATGGATTGAAGGAATTGAAGATCCAACTTGCCCAGGCTGAGAAGGCTAGAATAGAACAATGTTTGAACAGTGAAGAACTGTTGTCGGGCAACAAGAAGATCAATACATTCACGAGCCAGAGCAGAGCAGACGGTCAACAGCTTAGGTCAGCCTCCTTCTTGAGCCTTCCTGATCGTGCGCTTGAGAATTGGACCCTCATGCGACTCTGAAGAGCGACTAGTCAAAAGTAACCCTTTCGCGGACTCATGTGTTGAGGATTCGGACAGTGACATTGAAGCCAAAACGGACTAGACGCAAGAAGATGAGTGCTCGCAAAGCTTGATCGAAGGCATTGCAGGAACGAATGGAATTTGTGTCGCGCCGAGACAGATTTGCGGGATGTGGGTGCCGCCGAGGTGGATTTGCGACATCTGGCCCGCGCCGAAATGAAACTAGTGCAACTCGCAATCGAAGAACGGTGGCGAGCTGGATGTATCTTGTGCCGAGGGTCGTAATGGAAGGCTCGTCTCCTTGCCTTGGCGTAAAGATTGAAGAGCTAAAGACCGTCTGAAGAATCCATGTCCTACTCTGTTTCTGGCATACGGATCTTGGCTTTGGTCTTGGAACGTACCACGTCGGACCTGAACATGTCCCGCATCGGCCGGTCAAGGAACAAGGGAGAAGAAGCGTTGAAGGCGTGGATCTGGCGCTGCATGCATCCGTGTAAACGTCCAAGAGCTTTTCCATCAACTCGAATCCTCTCCCGCAGTAGACACAGCTGGTAATCTTCCTGAGCTTGTTGCCTGATGATGGCGCTGATTCTTGGATCTCCAATTTGGCAGGCTCGTCATTGTGGATTATCGGAGTGTCTTGGCCAGTGGGTTGAGCATGTTGGAGAGGAGCAGTCTGCAGAAAAGCAAGTCCTGGAGAAGCTTGGTTCTTCATCTTGGGCATCGGCCTCATTCGCCTCGGCGTACTTCGCTGTGACTTGATGGTCAAATGCCATCTCTGGGGCCTTGCGTCTGGGAGAGTCGTTTGCAACGCAGTCGAGGCTTTTGTTGAACAATTCGATGGGACCTCGCTTGATGTCTCGACCAAGGAACTTCGGCATGGAGCCCAATCTGGGTGATGAGGCGTATGACTAACTCGTGAAAACAGCTTCGCTTGGGAAGTGATGGGTTTCGCTGTGTCCTTGAATCTTCGTTGGCGGGTGGCCAACCTCAGAGGTCAACGCTGATAGGCAAGATGGTGTAGACGTAGATGGAAATGGGCCCTGATCTGAGGACGGCTCAGCCTGAAGAGCTTGTACGTCTGTCTCTGCTGACGGCTTTGCTTGTGAGGCTTTAACGGATCTCCCAAAGCCGCGGTGACGATATGAATCCCATCGAAGGCATGGGTGTCTGGCAACGGCTACCCTTACCGGGGCTAATTGACCTGTCGCCCAAGGTGGTTTGGAGGTAATATGGCGGCGACCACTGGAGATACCTGTGAATGATGAGGGTCAATGTTCCAGACCTGGTAGTGAGCGAGAAGCAAGTGCCGTCTTCCTCTTGGCCGTCTTCCCCAAGAGAAAGACTTGTTGCCGCAGAGCTATATCTTGAAGGGCCTGGGTATGTTGGACGGGTCTGGCAGAGCCGCTGGAGTATCCATAGCCCGGCTCTCGGTGGTTCTGGGGGACGGTTGTGACTGACGGAGTCAACGCTTGATTGGGCTGCGGGACCTCCCTTCTCTTGCCATGGAGGACGAAGGTGCTGGGAAATTCGATGGGCCTGTTCTTCGGATGGTTGGTGTGCTCGGGTTCGCACTCGTTGCTGCGATTCGTAATCCATAAGCCTGCGGTGAAATATTGTCAATATAGATGCGTGCGAGTGATATTCCTCGAAAGGTGGTGGACAGTTGGTTGGCTCGCAACGCCATGAAACAAGTAGCTGCAGCGGGGAAGTCGTTGTTCCAAAGGGCGGCCAATCGTGCGCTTGTGGGCGACGTTTGTGGCTTCTGTTAAAGGTGAGGTGTCTGCAGGCATGGAGTGATAGCTGGCATCAACACCACGCATTCAAGCTGATCGGAGTGATGGGGGACCTTACGATTATGTCAAATGACCGGTGGTGTCAGGACAGTAGTTCTGACGGAAGGTCGGCAACGGCTGCGCAAAAGCAGATTCTGGTCCCCTCGAACTGGTCGACTAAGCAGATGGCGCAGAAGAAGCAGAGACAGTCTCAAAGGCTATTCAAAGCTCGTACCTGTGGATGAGAGGCCATCAAACGACAGAAACACCGGTCCTAAGGCGGCACCGTAGACGGAAACGGCAGGATTAGGTAAAAGCCCGAGTGAGATCGCATCTCGAGGTCCCAGGTGAGTCAATTCTGTCCGTTCACGATAGTTGAGTCGTCGACCGCCTGTGCCGCCTGATGACGAAGGGATCCGTGTAATTGCGTGTCGAGTGAAGCCAGTTGAAAACTGCTCGTATCTGACAAGGCAAATGGTGTCTGTTAATCTTATCTTTTTGCCGGGTGTTGCCAGGTGTCATGCTCGAGGTGCGACTGTTT